CTAATCTGTCAATCAATGTGTATTTAATAATAGATGTACTTTATGAACTATCCTTTGTCAATACTCTAAAGAATGCAGATGGAAAAAGGACATTGCCATATGCTCTATGAATTCATTATGGAGGCATAAAAAGGAAATTTACACTAAGTTCTATATGAGAAATATAAGCAATGTACAAAGGAGTATTCAAAAGAGAATGAAATCCTTTCTGGTTGCAGGGTGAAAGACGGAGGCTTGGGAATGAAGAAGAGGTGAGAGAGGAAAAGTCACTTGGCTGTCTACTCAAGAGTGAGGAGGATTTCAAAAAGGGAAGGTGGAGAAAAGCATGAGCAAAGCACAAAGGCATAGGAGGATCTATTAGGGGAAGGCCGAGGACAGAGGCGTGGCTGAGGAAGGCGGTGGGAAATGAGACTGCAGGTTTGGCAGAGGCAAATTTATGCAGGTTTTAAATGCCTTCATTTAAAGGGTTAAAACCTGGGCCTCCTTGGTGGCTCAAGGGGTTAAGACGCTATCTGCAGCCACTGCAGCATGAGTTTGATCCCGGCCAGGGAGCTACCCACATGGTGCAGCAGACCCCTCCTGTCTCCCCGCTGCACCCCTCAGCAGCGGATTTCAGTAGATCCACCTGTTCTGCTCCCCACTCTGTCTCTGGTGAGTTCCTGCATCTCTGATCTACACCCCAATACTTGTATGCATAAATAAAATAAATCTTTTTTTAAAAGCCACAATTTTGAGTTAAAAAATTACTTTAACAGTCTCACTTTCCCTACTCCTCAAAATTCAATCGACATTATTGATAGAGTGACATATAGAAGTCAAGGTGAATAAGGCCTGCAAAACCACTCTGGTTTGCTCTGGAAACTTTGAAAACAGCCATTTCAGTGGTCACTGGGGACAAGTTCAGTCAACAGAGAGAACTGGTATGTTATGCTCCTGAGAAACTTGACAATGAAGGGAAGAAAACAGATGGGGTTAGTGCATGTGAATGGAAATAAGATTTTTTTAAATATACTAAAAAATTTGAAGATATCTTACATGAGTCTGCAATAGTTCTGAACATACTAATTCACTTCCTCTCCCCATCTCTCTCTGAAGTGGGATAACTCCTACAGCGCCATTATTTCCTCAACATAGAAAAAGATTGCTGCAGGGCCCTCCCCCAGCTGCTGAGATGTCAGACTGGCCTCTCTCAGGCCTGGGGTGTGCCGGAGGGTGCCTGCATTTCGTCTCAGACCCCCTGACAGTACCTGGGGCAGGGTTGGGGTGGGGACTGGACTAGGCTGGAGATGTTCTGCCACCTCCCCTTGTACCCCATGACACCCTGTGCTCCCCTGTGTTCTGTATGTGTCTGGGCTGTGCCCAGGACTTCACAAAGAAAGTCATGTGTGACAGCAAAAAAAGAAAAAGAAAAAGAGACCCCAATATACATGAAATGTGGACTTCCAGGTAAAGTGTTTTAAATAACTAGAGCTACACTAAGGAAACAAACAAACAGATAAGAAGCCTTACAAAGCCTTCTAGAGACAGGAACTCTAAGTATGAAGAAAATGGGTTTGGAGAGCGGCTCCACCAGCTGCATGTCCTAGGGCAAGTCACTTGACTAAACTAAGGAAACCAGATTTTTTTTTTAAGACTGTTAAGAGTCCCCTTCCCTCTAACATTTTATGAGTCTTGCCCTGAATCCTTTACAGTAAAGATTGGACAAGATAACAATGTGTGAAAGCACAGAGAGGCAGGACAACAGAAGGGCAAGTGTGCAGATTCTAGATCAGACAGACCTGGGTTCTGTTTACAAAATTTGTGACCTCAGGCCAGTCACTTAACCCCTGAATCTGACTTAACCCTTAGCCTCAGGGGTATTGTGAAAATTCATCAAAATAATCCAACCTTAAATCCTTTCTGGAGCAAGATGACTGGTGAATTTATAAACAAAATATCACTGAAGTAATTATGTAAAGGACTTGGTTCATTATAGATGCTCTATAATTACCCTAAAAGTCATTGAACTCTAAGAGGCTATACCACTAGTAACATGGTTTTATTAACCTATGACTTGGAGGCATATACATAATTGAACAGACTTAAATTCCACTTTCCCTTTCAACTTTTATTTGCCTCTGAATGAACATTCCCTAGGAGAAAAGGGGAAACCAAGATGAATAAAGATAAAAGGGAGGTTTATTGAGTGGAGGTGACAGTGATTCAAAGGACAAAGAAAGGAGTTTGTTTTGCATTAGGAGCTAAGAGTCTTCACAGTTCTTTGTCAGGCCAGAGGTTAAAGAGAAACGTAACAGTTCCCTGTCTGACTGACCTCAGAGTACTCAGGGTGCTTCCCCTGCAGAAAGCTTTGGCTTTGCTCAATCACCTCCAATAAACCAAATGACAATTTGGATACCAATAGGAAATCATGTGTCTTATTGGCACAGGGAGTGAACAGGGTAGGAAGGAGCAGGTAAAGATGATCTAACTTGCAAAACTCCTGGACTTAACCCTACTTTGCAGTTCCTCCTGGGCCCGCCCTTTTCCCCCTGGCATCCCTGAGAAGTGTTTGCACCCTGTATTTCTGCCAGGTGTTTACGAGATTTTTTCTTCTTTCACCTAGGAATTGAGAAAGAAGAATGTGGGGGGCAGGCAATTTTTATCTGAAGACCAGGTTATAAGGTGAAAGGTCGTAAACAACTCTGACTTGGAGGGTTTCCTTTCAGAACAGGCCTTGGCAGCAGGCCTGGCAGGCAGCTCTGCTGCCAAAATGAACTCGTCTTTTGGCATTTAAGGGATCCCAGACATAACACAGAGCAAACAAGTGGTCTCCACCGAATTTTGCAAAACAGGAAAGTAGAATCTGGAGCCCAGGAGAGGAATTTACAGCAAGCACGAATTACCTTTAGATTTTTTAAAACTGAAAAATGTAATACTTCGTAGATGTGCCTAATAAATACCGCATGTCCCTTTCTCTGATCTATTACTACTTCCCTCTTACTGTCCCCATTAAAAAATTTATTGATTTGTGTTTTTCTTTGTAAAACATTTTGATACCTCACATTTATGTACACTTTTATATCTATCCAACTAAGTGCTCTTCTAGAAGCCACAATTTTGAAGTTTAAAAACCATTTTAGTTGAGTCCCACTTTCCCAGACTCCAATAATTCCATCAATGTTGTTGACTGGCTGAAAACAACTCAGTGCTTGTTGGTTAACTTTCTAGAACAGGGTGTCACCTCAAACCCACAGACCTTAAGGATCGGCGTGTTCTGCTTTTTGTTCCTGGGTGCTGGTGCCATGTGTATGTGCGCATATGTTTTCTCATACAGCCTTCATGCCTGCATCACGAGCTTGCTTAATATTGGGATTGAGTTATAACTTGCTAGCCTTAGGGTGTCAACCCAGTTAAGGTATATGAGGAAGAAGGATCCTGAACAGTCATGAATAATAGCCTGCCTTTTTGTTGTTGTAGCCGAAAGGGTAAGATTTCAGAATTTTCTTCCTTATTTACTTCCCTGTCTTGATTCTGGGGACATTGTATTCCTTTTACCAGCACAAGAAATGAGGTAATGATCTAATTCCCAACACAGACACTGAAGGGGTTCAGGAATCAAAGAAAAGAGGTACGAACCCAGGTATTTCTGCATAGAATATTTTCTTACTGCGTTCGTGACGAATAAGCCCAGGAGTCAGCTGTTAGGGCACCTCAGGGCCAGCTAGGGGAAAACCCATCTGGAAGCCAAATGCTGACACAGGGTGAGGTGTCAAGGTCTCCTTTAGCTTGAGCTTAGTGTTCAAGCGACCCTTCTGTGGCCTCAATTTTACTTATTCCTAAACTTTTAAAAGGCAGGGAACGTCTTCCTCCAAGCAGGGACACAGCCATCTCTCCACGGATGGCTCAGCGAGAATCAAGAGCGCTTTCCTGCGTGTAACTAATTGGAAAGTGAAGGGGCGGGTGGGCGGCAGGTTGAGGGGGGCACCTTTGATTTAGCCCTCTGCAGACAGGAACAGCCTAAGTAACCGGGGAGAAAGTGAAAACCACCCCTCCCCCCAACTTTTCCTGGAGAAGCAGGGAGTGGGTGAGAAATAATCAGAACCCGAAGGACACAGGTTTCTAAAGAGGTAATGCGGTAACGCGGGGAACATAAACAAAGTGTTCCCCAACTTTGCACACAGAAGCCGCAGAGATGAGGGGATAAGCAGCAGGATGTGAACACGCCCTCACTGCTTCTGTTCCAGAGAACAGAGAGAACAGGATCGCGGGGACAGGGGGGCGCGGAACAGCAGAGGCACACCGCCCGCGCCCCGAGGGGCGAAAGGTGGGCTGCGGGACCCCCACCCCGCTTTCCAAGGAGGCTCGGGGGACCGCGCGCCCGGCGCGCTCCCTTCCCCTCACACAGCAGGGTTCGGCTTCCTGACTCCGGGTTTGGGCTCCTTACTCCTTACTCAGGGGGTAAGAAAGGGACAAAGGGGGTTTTCCTGAAGAGCAGCCCAGCCCGAGAGCCTCCCTGCGCCCCGGTTTCCACTCCGCCGGGAGGGGGGAACCGCGCCTCTGAGGGGCGCCCCGGCCCCGGCCGAGCGTGGAATTTCCTCAAAGCACCTCGTCCTCTCGCTTGGGGGGAGGGGAGGGGGCGCTTACGGCGCGGAGACACCCGCGCCTGCCCTCGAGAGCGGGGCGCCCGGGAGGGGGGGATTTGGGGGTCAATGAAGCCCTTCTCGCCCGAAGCCGTCCCGTCGCGCCCCCCCGCCCCCCCCGCCCCCTCCCGCCCCCTCCCGCCCCCTCTCCTCCTCCCGCCCGGCCGCGCCGCGCCACCCTCCCCCCGCCAGGCGCACACCGTGTCCACGCGCCGCCGGGCGCGCGCCGATTGGTCGAGCGCCTGGTAAACAAGCGCCGGGCAGCCAATGGGAGGCCTGTGCACGAGGGCAGCACGCGCCTCCAGCCCGGGGCTCGCGTGGCCGCCGGCGCCCGCGACTATAAAGGGCCGTTTCCGGCCCGGCGCGGCAGCTCGCGCCCAGCCCCGGCCCCGCCGCGAAGAGCGCAAGCCGCGGTCGCTCTCGCTTTTCTCCTGCAGCCCCTGCCGTCGCCGGCAGCTTAAAAGCCAAAACCTTTTCGAGACGTGTAGTCGAGAGTGAGGTCCTGTTTTCTTGCCTTTGGCTCTTGGATTGGGAATCTACCCCCCTCGTTTCGCCCTCGACAGCCCGCCCAGCCCCGACATGGTGATGTTCAAGAAGATCAAGGCCTTCGAGGTGGTCTTCAACGACCCCGACAAGGTGTACGGCAGCGGGGAGAAGGTGGCCGGCCGGGTGCGGGTGGAGGTGTGCGAGGTCACCCGGGTCAAGGCCGTGCGGATCCTGGCCTGCGGGGTGGCCAAGGTGCTGTGGATGCAGGGCTCGCAGCAGTGCAAGCAGAGCCTGGACTACCTGCGCTACGAGGACACGCTCCTGCTGGAAGACGAGCCGGCAGGTGAGGGACCCACTTGTTGCAGGCTCCTGGGGTGCAGGCTGACTCGGTCGGGAGGGATGCAGGGACTCCACTGCGCTGGCTGAGAGGCTCAGGTGGAGTGGCCAGAATTGAGTGTCCCTTCCCTTTCCAATTTTAACTGGCAAGCCCCACCCGCCCAGGGTGATTTGTGCCATTTCTTAGGGTGCTGTGTTCTGAAGGTGACCCTAAGGGATGTTGCTTTAGCTCTTCAAGGAGTTTTTTCCCCACCCCTGTATGTATAAGGGGTTTATCCTTTGTTTCCTGCTGGAAATGATAGTAGCTTACTTGCTCTGGTTGAGCCTTGGAACATTACAGGGCTCTTGCAAGTGCATCAGAATCTCTCGTTGGGATTTGAATATAAGCGAGGGGATTCCACTGCATTGCGCTTGCATGTTACCCAAGAATTCTTTATCTCGTAGATGCATTTTAAGTGTTACTAGAAACCTAATGGCTGCTCACTTTGTCCCCCTTCAGGTGAGAATGAGATGGTGATCATGAGACCTGGAAACACCTATGAGTACAAGTTTGGCTTTGAGCTTCCTGAGGGGTAGGTGTCTGCTGCCTGTGCCTTTGAGCTTTTCTGTTTCTAAAAATTGGATGGCTTGCTGTTCCGGGAGGGCATTTTTAAGTCGTTTTCTTTTTCTTGCCACAGGCCACTGGGAACATCCTTCAAAGGAAAATATGGGTGTGTAGACTACTGGGTGAAGGCTTTTCTTGATCGCCCCAGCCAGCCAACTCAAGAGACAAAGAAAATCTTCGAAGTGATGGATCTAGTGGATATCACTACTCCTGATTTAATGGTGAGGTTCATTTTAAGATCCTGTTTTCCCGGGTCTTGGGTGGTAAGTGTCTTAGGCATTATTTTGAAGCACTTCTGGGAATCAAGTCCTCAGTTATCAAAATGGGAGGGAATGTTGCCTACTCTAGAAATGATACATAGAAATTCTTAAAACATCTGCCCCTCATTTTCCATAGGCACCTGTGTCTGCTAAAAAGGAGAAGAAAGTTTCCTGCATGTTTATTCCTGATGGGCGAGTGTCTGTCTCTGCCAGAATTGACAGAAAAGGATTCTGTGAAGGTAAAGAAACTGGTGCTTAAAGACTGACAGAATGGCCTGCAGGTTTTGGGGTTGAGGGCAGGGGCCAGGGTCAAAGGAACAAGATCAACAACTGAACTATCAGTTTAATAAGTTTTCATTTTTGTCATTGCTAGGTGATGAGATTTCCATCCATGCTGACTTTGAGAACACATGTTCCCGCATCGTGGTTCCCAAAGCTGCTATCGTCGCCCGCCACACTTACCTTGCCAATGGCCAAACCAAGGTGTTCACACAAAAGTTATCGTCAGTCAGAGGCAATCATATTATCTCAGGAACCTGTGCGTCGTGGCGTGGCAAGAGCCTCCGAGTGCAGAAGATCAGGCCTTCCATCCTGGGCTGCAACATCCTTCGCGTTGAATACTCCTTACTGGTGAGTGGGTGGGATTGGCTTCGAGAGAAATTGTTCATCTGTCCCAACAGTGGGTGTTTTCTCCAAATCGTTAGGCTAACAAACTGCCATTTTTTCCCCAGATCTATGTCAGTGTTCCCGGCTCCAAGAAAATCATCCTTGACCTGCCTCTGGTGATTGGCAGCAGGTCAGGCCTGAGCAGCCGGACGTCCAGCATGGCCAGCAGAACCAGCTCTGAGATGAGCTGGGTGGATCTAAACATCCCTGATACCCCAGAAGGTGAGCCATTGCTAACGTCGTTGCTTTGCCTCTGATTTATTTGGATTTGTAAAATTGTAGTCGGTTATCTTTTGGCCAAGCTGTTTACGCTGTGCCCCCTCTCTCTAGCTCCCCCTTGCTACATGGATATCATTCCTGAAGATCACCGACTGGAGAGCCCCACCACTCCCCTGCTAGATGACACAGAGGGCTCTCAAGACAGCCCAATTTTTATGTATGCTCCTGAGTTCAAGTTCATGCCACCACCTACTTACACTGAGGTGAGAATTGTCATCGTCTCTCCCTGTCAACCCTTCTGTTGGAAGTTGACTTGGTGGGATTGCTAAACTGGGTTAATTCTTACCCAACTAAAAATTTTTATTTTTCCTTTCCAGGTGGACCCCAGCATCCTCAACAACAATGTGCAGTGAGCCCATGGAAGAAAAGCAGCAACTAGATCTACTTGTTTCTTTCTGCCACTCTTCCTGGACTCTTTTTTCAGAGACTTGGCAGTCTCTCCAGTGGGGTACAGGTCCACCCCCCTGCTGACCCCCAGGGTAGGAGGCGTTCAGCAGGCAGCCTCCTGGGCCTTGAGGGGTGCGCACTCATCCTTGGCCAGCAGGATGTTGTGATACAAGGATGTTGCTGGATGGGTTTAAAAACAGTAGAAAAACTCGGGCCCATCCCATTTTTCTCCAATCTCTTTGAAAACTAAGGAGTTTTCAATAGTTTTGAGTAAAGGGTAGAAATGGCCTGTCATTTCCCTAAGGGTTTTCTGAAGGGATCATACATAGGCTGTTGTAACATCAGGTTTTGAAACCTCAGTAACATATGGAGCAGAATAATGTAACAAGCTGGGAGAATGAGAAGGGAAAAAAACCATTGCCAAAACTCCTATAAAAGGTTTTTAAAAATCAGTGTTACCCTTTGAACACTTACAGAAAAAAAGAACAGAAAAACTCCCCAGGGATGATTTGACTTTGAAGAGAGCTTTCTCTGTGAATTCAAGGGAAGAACTTTAGGTTGTCTTTGCTTAGAGTGTTCTTTAATCTGGCTTAAAGCAGCAGTCACTGTGCCCCACAAAAGGTCTTAAGTCGTATTTAGAGCCTTTTGCACTGTGTTCTCCTGTTGCAGACATTTTTGTGTGGGAAGATATATTGTTTTCATGTGACTCCTTGGAATTGACTCTAAGGTGGTGTTCTTAGCACTTTAGTTCTTGTCAAATTCTCATTTTCTGTCTCAAATGTAAGCTGAAACTTGTCTACTATGTCTCTAGGAGTAAGCACAATAACAAAAATAGTGTTACTCAGTACTTTTGAGACTGTCCTCATGTGCAGAGTTCTCATTCTGACACTCGAATCGGATGAGAAGTGTGCTGCTATCAGCCTTTCCCCTGTGACTTCTCAGCTCAAGGAGGAACTCCAGACAAGACGCCCGCTTTTGTGAGGAGCCTCCAGACACCGCCACAAGCAACTAGAGGGCATGGCTTTCCAGAAGCCCCTAGGGCTCGCCCTGCCCTGTTGAGAGACAGGCCGAGCCCCCTCTCTCTGCAGACGCTGGTGCTTGGTCGTCACCCTCAGCCTTAAGCACTTTGTTCACTGTCCTGTGTCAGAGCTCTGAGCTCTAGCCTTTCTATGTGGACTGAAGGTGGTTTTATTTTTTGTTTTTTAATTGTGTATCTTTTTGTATGATAAAAACTATATTTTGTACTTAACAAGATATATTTTCACCCCAGGTGGGGACATTCTTTGTAAAAAAAAAAATAAAATTAAAATAAAGTTTTTTTTAATGTCAAAAACTTCTTGTCTGTGAAATGGTGTTGGAGGCCTTACTGAAAAGGGAATGCCTAAAGAGCTCTCTCCCTACTTCACAATTCCAGTTCTTGAAAATCCTGTGGAGAAAACGCTCCCTACTTACGCTAACGAGTATGGTCAGAATAGGGGTTGGAGGGGTGAAGAGGGAAGGAATTTGAGCTACACTTAGTCTTTGTCACATTCAGTGAAGAACTATAGTGGGTTTTTGTGGTCTAAGCTAATTATTAAGATTTATTTTTATGCATATAAGAACTGGGGTGTAGGCCAGGGGTGCGGGGAGTGAGAGAGGATTCCCCAGAGACAGTGGGGAGCAGAACAGCAGATCCACCGAAATACACTGCTGAGGGGGCAGGCGAGACAGGAGAGGTCCGTGGAGCCATGTGGGTAGCTCCCTATCCCGGGGATCGAACTTAGGCCACAGTGGCTGCCCATAGCTTGAAAGCCCTGAGATAACCCCCTGTGTCACCAGGGAGGCCCTGTCTTTGCTAATTTTCAACATCTACAGTTCACTAAATTCCTCAAATTTTGGCATGTATTTTTCCTTTTTAAAATGAACTTGTAGGGCCTCCCCGGTGGCGCAGCGGTTGAGCGCTGGGTTGCGAAGCTGCCGGCGACCTCTGCGGCGCAGGTTCGATCCCCGGCTGCTCCCCGGCCACCGGAGGAGGGTCCCACATGGCGCGCAGACCTCTCCTGCCGCCCGCTGCTCTCCTCAGCAGTGTGCTTCGGTCCTTCTGCCTGCTCTGCTCCCCGCTCTGGCTCTGGTGAATTCTCTCACCCTCCCGCGCTTCTGACTGTACCCAGTGCATGTATAAACAAACGAACGAACAAACAAACAAACAAATAAATAAATAAAACATGCCTCTATAAAAAAAAAAATAAAATAATAAAATGAACTTGTAGTAAAGGGAAATAAGGTTAGGTTTGTGAGGGAATTTGGAAGGGAAGAGTTAAGGTTCCGATTTAATTTGTTCTCATCATAAAGTTTCTTCCCATTATAAAACCTGGTTTGTATGAATGAGACATGAAATGGCAAATTATTCAGGATTTAAAGATTTAGAGTTACAAGTATTAAATTCTTTGAGGCAGCTACCGCTTTATCTCTGCAGTTCCTACTTGTGCAATATAACCCAGTAAGGTGCTTGCTGGGATGAGGGAAGACCCTCCTCCCATAGGGTCTTCTTGGGCACTTCCTACTCTTAACTTGCAGAGTAGTACCACCACCCCCCCTAATTGGAATGGATGTTATTATGCCTAAATAAATGATTAGGATTAGAAACCCCAAGATGGCAGAGGTTAATTCTGGCTAATCTAAACCATCGCAGGCAGATCTAGTCCCGCTCCTTATTTGGGGTTCAGCGCTTCTGTGGACGTCCACATACTAATTCCAAACCTCAGACTAATGGGAGTTCAGAAGGCCAACGTGAACTGAACAGAAAGTGAGATTGAACAGACTGTGTCCGTGTTTCAACCTCCGTCCGTGTTTATCTCTCATTTTCAGTGGTTCTTTTGCTCTCTGCTGGCTTTTTCTCTATTTTTCTTTACCAAGGTGCTGGCCTCTGGTTCTGTTGCCATGACGACTCTCACCTGTGCTCTTGCTTCGGCTGCCTCCTTTTCTCACCTGTTCAAGATTGCAGTGGCTCCTCCCTTTTGTGAATCTGCGGCCAGGAAAGTAGGTTAAAGTTGATGGAAAAGTTTTTTCTGTAGCTTGTTTTCCAGGGACTGCAGGGCGGGGCGAGGACACAGGCCGGCCCAAGGCATGGAGTGAGCAGTCAGTGGGGCCCAGCCATGGCAGCCAGCAAGGAGAGGACAGCAACTCTCACTCAAGGTTTGTTCAAGGGGAGACGATGGTTGCAGGGTCCCCTCCTAGCACCCCTAGCCCAGCACCGTCCAGTGAACTTTCTATGAAGATGGAAATGTTCTTTATTTGCGCTAATAGGGCAGCCATGAGCCACGCAGAAATGTGGCCACTGTGACCTATGAGCTGATTTTTTGTTTTTGTTTAATTAATTTAGCTCCATGTGACTAGCAGCTGCCACACTGAATAGTGAGCAAAATCTGAGGAAGGAAGGAAGCAACTGCCACATTTGAAGTTGAAAAATCTCCTCTCAGAGATGACCACAGGTCCAGAGCTGCACGTTCTGGCCCAGTAAGTGAGTCCATGGCCTAGAAAAGTTTCCTGAATCAGCCTCCCTACAGTCTTACGGACAAATAGAATATATGACATGGTCCTTAAGTACAGGAATCCAGGACCAAACTATCCAAATGCAAATCCTACTTCCACTCCTTAATAAGCTGTGTGATCTTGGGCAGCTTGTTTAACCTCTCTGTCCTGTAGCTCATTTTTTAAAAAAAGATTTATTTGTTTTTATATAAGAGCTGGGGTACAGGCCAGAGGCGTGGGAGGGGGAGAGGATTTACCAGAGACAGAGCCGGGAGCAGAACAGACAGACAGACTGAAATGAACTGCTGAGGGGAGCAGCGGGCGAGGCAGGAGAGGACTTCCATGCCATGTGGGAATCTCCCTGGCCGGCCAGCAATCAAACCCGCTGCTGCAGAGGCTGCGGACAGCTTCCCAGCGCTGCGCTCAACCTGCTGTGCCACGGGGGAGGCCATCCTGTAGCTCATTTATGTGTAAAATTGAAGATGATAAAGTAGCTGCCCCACAAGATTGTTGTGAGGATTAAAAAATGTTTGTGCAATGTTATAACTATGGCAAGTGAGTGACTTACTATCTCAGAGGAAAAAAGAAAACAGCAGGCATCACCACCAGTGCCACCTTGATTTAGTCCACTTCCAGGCACGTGCCTGAAATTGTTCTTTCTCTCTGACCTACCACTAATAAAGTCATCCTTATTCCCTTCCTGAGTTGAGGGAACCAAGCAATCTGAGGAGAGAGCAGTGTGTGGGAACTGACTCAGCCTGGAATTAGTTGTGGTGGTGAAGGGTAGCTCACACTGGGGTTCCCATCTCCAGGCCAGAGGGGCCTCTGCAGGCCCCCATCATCTCGTGGGCTACCTCTGGGAACACTAGAATTTTCTCTCTCAAACTCCCAGTGTGCTTCACGGGCCTCTGAGTCACCTTCTGGAAATTAATTGAACTTTCTTTTCAGTTTTCAACTCTGGGCAGGGTAGTGGGGGGGCAGTTTGAAGGATGAAGGATGAATTGTACAGTCAATATTGACGGTACAATGTGGGACCACAAAGAACTACTGACCCCTTGTTCCAAAGGATTACCACCCTTTGAGCTTTCCCACTAAGGTAGACGAGGCCAAGTGGCACGAAAGTCATGGGAGGTGAGCCCACTGATGAGCCCAGATTAGCCTATTCAGTCTATTCCTGTCTGTTCTGAACTTTGCCTTGTCTTGACCCTGCCCTGCGCTCTCCTGGGCCTGCTGTGTAAGGAGAAAAGAATGAGCAGACTCTGCAGGCCAGGATGTTTCCAACTAGCAGTTGGCAGGTCTTCTCGAGGCAGTGAGGGACGGCAGTACGAGGAGGACAGGGGATAGAGAGCATGGGGACAGGTGTTTTTTTTTTTTTTTTAAAGATTTATTTATTTATGCATACAAGAACTGGGGTACAGGCCAGAGGTGTGGGGGTGAGAGGATTCACCAGAGTGAGGAACAGAACAGGTGAATTGGCTGGAATACACTGCTGAGGGGAGCAGTGGGGAGACAGGAGAGGTCTGTGGGTCAGCTCCCTGGCTGGGGATGGAACTCGTGCTGCAGTGGCTGCAGATAGCCTCATAGTGCTGTGTCTTAATCCCTTGTGGCACCAGGAAGGCCCTGGGGACAGGTTTGAGCCTTGAGTCCCAGGATGTTAAGAAGCCATTCTCCTCCTTGCTGGTGGGGGAGCTGCTGACAACCTTTGCAAGGCAATCAAGTAGTCAGCAAGCAGGTTCTTGGAAATGTCTGGCTGGATGCTGGGCTTGGATATTTTTAACCTCTTGGACGGATAGACGGAGGGAGGATTTCAGTTGCTGAGAAGGAGGCAGGGCTGAGGGCATGAGGACCTGGCATGGCTTTTGGTCAGAGACCCATCTCCCTGCACCTCACCTAAAGCCTGACTCTGTCTTTCATCTATCCAGACTCACAGCTAATCCTTTGGCTTCTGTTTCCCATTTCTCTCTATTCCTGGCCTTTCATGCTTGTCCCATCTCCTAACTCTAAGGAGACTTTGGCTTCTGCTCCAGACCCCAAGATGTGTTTAGCTCCATATCCCTGTAGATCAAGGAAGGGGTGGCTGGGCAGTAACCAATGGCTTCTTGCTCTCACATCAGAGAGATGTCAGAGGCTTCTCTTCAGTTCCACCTCCCCAGTTGTCCTGCAGGAGAACAAACTGTCACTTCATGCACCTCACTGCCAACAACTGTTGGGAACAGAATTTGAGACCTTGGGAGCCCAGATCCAGGCCTCATATAACTTTGGAAATAGAAGTGTTGGGAGAGATCAGAGAGGTTGGAAATCATGGCAAAATTCATCAAGATAAGATCTGCTGTTTCCAGGGCACCTGGGAAGTGGAGAGGGTAGGAGAGGGCTGGATTGTTGGCAAATCCAGAAGATTCTTTTGACTATGAGGGCAGTCTGGAGGATAGGAAAGCAGGTTAGGAAATATTACCAAAATTTCAGATTTGGTGCTCCAACCTTCCTTGACCTTTCCTTTAAACTGGATGCCCTTCTATATCTAAGGACTGCTACTTTCTGTCTCCCCATAATTTCCTATTTCTTAGCACCTCTTTTAACACTGCCCACCCAGGTTTTGGGTGGAGAAGAGAGGCCCCGACACAGGTGCCCCAACATTGAGTGGAAGCCAGAGGTGAGAAGGAATTACAGAGGGAAGGTTACTCTGATTCCTGTTTCCCGTTTGGTGTCCTGAACGGCTGGTGGTTGGTAAACTGAGGCTGAGGGAACCCTAAGCTAGCGGAACCAACCACAGGTGGAATCAGACATTGAGAAACCTGTGCCATTTCTTCCTAAAAATAAGAGTTGGTTGTAAACACCTAAAAACCA